GTCTGGCAGCGCCGCATAGTTCTGAACGTTCATACTTGCCGAAGAGCTGCAGGAGAAACACCGTCTCCGGAGATTGAATAACCGGCATGCCATGTATCACATGCTCGAGCACCGAAATGTTAAGTGGGTTAACTTAGAACCACACCGGCTCGCAAACCCCCAGAACCTGGAACGAGAAAAAGAGAAAAAGAAAAAGCAAAGGAAGGACTCAGGGCAAGTTCCGGGCACACCTAGCAGCAGGGCCTTTTGTGCCAGCCGATTCATAGCTTGCTAACATCCTTCATCGTGAGCGCTAGCATCGCGTCTCTCACTTGCCATACATGTACAGCACCGTGATGAACTGTAGGAGTGCTCGCTTCGATCCCTTGCTCACCAGCGAGATAGTGGCGCCCCACTTGACTGCAATAGTTTTCAACTGCTCCATCGTGTCCGATGCCAGCTCCTGCTTGACGAGATCGAGGTAAGTCGCTTGGTTGGACAGCGTGCGTTCATGCAACCACGCTTTGAAGACTTTGTCCGTGAGACTGGTGGGAAGTGGGACCTGCTGGCCCTTGGGATTGCCCTGACGTAAAAGTTTTGGATCTAAGGTGATGTCCGGGGCGGCCTCCGGAGTCTTGCGCTTTGCCGGGCGTCGTTTGGGAGCTGGATCAGCCTCCGGAGATGGAACTGGTAGGGGGGGCCCTTGAGCATCCGACATCGCTTTGTTGATGTAGAGGGACTGGTCAGAGCGGCCAGGTGTGGGAGTCCAGGATGTGGTATTGGAAGGAGACGAAGACGGCTGCTTCTTGTCCGGTGTGAGAGTGATGCCTTTGTTCTTGTAGCGCTCAAGCTGATGTTCCAATTCGGCAATTTTGTGGCGGGTGAGGTTCTCCTGCTTGGTGACTCTATGAGGTCCACGATTTTGAGCGCGAGTGGCTCCATGAACTGCATAGCCTCGTTGCGCTTGTCAGGCGCATTGTCCGGGTGAAGGGAGCGGGCAGTCCGATCGATGTCGACCTCCCTGCCTCGCAAGGCTTTGAGGATTGATGTCAATAACACCGCCTCGGCTATTGTCTGAGCCATTACCGGTGTACTGTATCGCCCGTTCGATAGCGCTCGGAGTGCGTGATCTTCTGCTCCTCCCCGAAGAAGACGTGTCAGCGGAAGATCTAGAATTGCTGTTCCTGCGAGTCCGACCCGTCGAGACCACTGAGTGGGTTGAATGTGACGGTATAGTTGCAGGCCGCGGACTTCCGTTTTGTCGAGGAAGATGTCATCAGATTGAACGGTGCTGGGAAGTAGCTGCGCGTAGCGAGGCTGAGTATACTGCGTTGTATCGCCTTGGCCTGGGGTGCACGGGGCCGAAGTTGAACTGGTGGTGCTGGTGGTGGGGGCCGAGAACCTGTCTGCGTGTGGGTCGTGCCACCGCCATGATAGTTGTAGAACTGACCAGGAGGCTGCGGTGGGAACTGGTAGGCCATATGTGGAGGCCGAGGAGGATTGACTCGGGGTACTGCTTCCTCTCGAGGTTGGTGCTGCATGGATTCCATCCGGTTGGAGCTCGAGTAGGCTTCTGTCTGGGACTGCGGGACCGACCATGATGGAAGATGCGAAGACATCGGTTGCGAAGAAGGGGTTGCCGAAGTCGCCGGCCATGAGTAGGGCCACTGAGAAGCCATCAAGGGATGGGGGTTTATCTCTGGCACTTGCTGATTGATTGACCAAACGCTAGGCATAAGGCACAGGTTGTCACTGTGACAAAAGGTTTTCAAACAGAGGCCGGAACCTTTATTGTTGGCAAGAAAAAGCGATCATCACAAGCGGGTCAACACAAGACTAAGAAAATCACGTCAAGAAGACCAGCAAAATAAAGTCGTGCTTGCGTCAGAAGGCCCTAGCATGCACTTTTTGTCGCAAAATGCTGTCGGCGGGCGAAGACGGCAGTATGGCATTTGCAATGAAACATCATTAAGTGTCATCAGGTGCAGCAGCTCTTCTGATTGGGTTGCCAGCGTAGCAAGACCAGCGCATCGATGAAACTCATAGAAAGCAGGATTGCCGAAGTGGTAGATTGTGCATCTGATTCATCGCCTGATGCAGGTTCACGAGCGGAGGACACCTGTGGGTGGTTTCGCGTCGGTAGGCCATGCGAGTCCAACGATCTGGCTTGCTTCTGGAATCACCATCCAACACTTGCCTGACACACAGTGTATAACGTAGGGACGTTCACTGGAATCCAACGCCTCGATACAAGCTTGCTCTCCTCCTGCACGAATCGGCTGACAGGTGCCGATAGCTCGCCCAAACAGCAATAGTTGGGCCTTGTTGAAAGACATACTCCAGTTCTGACTCATCGTTCGGGCAATTTCTTCAGCATCGTAATCGGCGTGTCCAGTGATCTTCCAGCCTTGGGCGTAAAAGGCTGGGCACTCCGAGGAGTGCTGCCGGGATGGATGTATCTGCCGGCTTCGTAGTATACCTCGAGTACCGCCGACACTGGACGCTTGGGTCCAGAGCAGCATGGGTCGCGTCTTCGTTGGTTCCTTGAGCCGAACCGTGGCGCCAAGGTAGGGGATGGTCAGCATGAACCAGTGTGGAGTGATCTTGGAGTAGTGATGTTCCGAATTGACCTTCGCATAGTTCAGGGTGGAGTGCTGAGATGGTATTCCTGCTGCATTTAAAGTAGCGGCCACATAGTCCAGCTGCTCCTGATTAACCGGGATCCCGTCGCGGACGTACGCGAGGCGAGCACCTGAAGTTCTCTCCTCCACGGGTCGGACTGTGGGTTGGGGAGCAGGATCAGCGGTGGGTGTGCCTGTGGATTCGGACGTAGCTGCGTGCTTCTCGAGGCTCCGTGACTGGATGAGCACCGGTGGTCTTAGGGGCTGGAGCCGATGGAGCCCTGCTTCTGCTGCGCGGAAGTGGGGACCTGTTGCTTCTCGGCCGCCGGGATGAGGCTTTAGTTGCTGTAGGCACTGAAGTGGCGAGAGCCGATGCTGCCGTGGTTGAATGATCCGATTGTGCGTCCCTACGGGAGATCGGCGGTGGCGTCCTGGAGCGAGCTTGACTGCGACGCTGTGGGGGCACTGACTTGGAGTAGGGGGAAGCATTGTGGGAACGTGACCGTTCGCCCTCCGTTGTGCGGCGTGATCTTGCCGGTGGGTTGGCCGGTGGCGGCATCTGACCGGATGGATGAGCTGCCGAGGATGTAGGTGTTGGGGTCGGTGCTTTGGTCGTGGTGGTCACTGGCATTGGTATTGGGGGGGCCTGGTTGGGAGCCGAGAGTGGAGTAGCATGTGGAGGTGTGGGACCTGATACTGCCGCTTTCTGAGGGACCGTGGGAGTCCGCGGGGTTGCCGTAGAGGTCGGTGCGGTAGCCGGAGACGGACATGCTGTAGCTGGAGCCGTTGGGGTAGTTGGAGTCATTGGAGTCATTGGAGTCATTGGAGTCATTGGGGTTGCTGGGCGCGCCTTCACCAGGATTTGCGGCAGTGGGCCAGCAGCGGATCCGGGCCAGGTAGGAGAAGCATAGATAGGTACCGCTGCGACACTGGGAGCAGGGGATGGAGCCGAAGGTTTTGTGGCCCTCGAGGTACCGGACAATGTGCCAGTAATGCTGGAGGTCGGTGCCACAAGTGTACTCCTGCTCGGTGATGCTGTCTGGCTCACTGGTGATCTGGGTGGCGTAGGACCCGCTGTGTTCTTGGCGGCCTTGGACATAGGGCCTGCTGAGTTCGACATCGGACCTGCGTTGGGTCGTGGCATCTGTTGCCGACAATTGCGAGCCAAGAGCAAGCTGACGGCGTCATGGGTTCTTGCCTGATGTGTCGGGTGGTCTGGTGGTTAGTCAAACAGTTTGTCTGACTTGAAGAGGTCCACGGAAACAGTCAAACGTCTGGGAGAAGTCCAAGCCTGTATTGAGAAGGTCAGCTGGAACAGTCAAGCGTCACGAGCGACAAGGTCCGGTAACAGTCTGTAGAAATTGTCATTGCATGAGTCGAAACAGATGCCCACAAAGGGGATCAAGACACTGACCGAAGCCCGGACGCAGTGCCTAAACACACTTGATATGAGACGGCGAAACTGCCAAGGTGCACCCCCAAGCAACTGAAAGGTGAAAAGCGGAAAGTGGAGTTTCGGCACAACGTACATGCTACGTCTTTCCTTCGTGTGGCCCTCATCAGGGATGCCATCTGCCACACCAAGTACTCCACGAGCAGAGGTCCATTGCGGTGGCATCCGACTCCAAAAAGAGAGAGAGAACACCGCGGAAACCCCTTAGGAACAGGGGGGGCACACACACACACACACACACACACACACACACACACACACACACACACACACACACACACACACACACACACACACACACACACACACACACACACACACACACACACACACACACACACACACACACACACACACACACACACACACACACACACACACACACACACACACACACACACACACACACACACACACACACACACACACACACACACACACACACACACACACACACACACACACACACACACGAGCACACACAGACACAAACCACGGACACAGAGACACACACACACACACAGAAACAGACACAGACAGACACACAGACAAACCGACAAACAGCCAAGCAGGCCGGCTGGCAGGCATGCAGACACACACACACACAAGCACATACACACAAAGGCGCAGAGACACAGAGACGAACAGAGACACGAAGACACGGAGACACACACAAACAATGTGCAGGCCCAAATAATTCAGATTTGGCTGTCGGGTGCTTCAATACCACATTTCCTTCTGATCACAAGGAAACCCCATCTGTGAATGTTTATTTTTGCCCTTCATATGGCTGTGGCTCAATAAAATGTACCCAAATGGCACCTGGGTAAATGGAACCAAAGATCAAAACCTGCGGTTTGCCCTAGTTCTTTCATTTTGAGCCCCACCCATATCACAGATGTTTGCTGGACGAGAGACTCACGCGCGCGAGCGCGAGCAAAAACCGCCTCGAGGCTGAGGCGCCGGGCCTGGCGCGGCTTGGAATCGGCGCGCCAGAGAGTTTTGGCTGGTATCAGGGACAGGTCGTTGCACAAGCCTGAGGGGCTCCCTGGAAAAACCAGGAGGTTGAGTGGAAAACCATGGCTGAGACATGTACTGGCTTAGCCCAACCTGGCGGCCCCCCTTTTTCCTGTGAGCCGGTCAAGATGTTTTTTGGGATATCTTTGGCAGGAATTGTCAAAAGCCGGGTGGTTCAATATGGAGCTTCCGTCGCGGACTTTTCTAATCCAACCGATGCAACCATCAAGGAATCTGGTATGAGGATCTTGTGAATGTTCTGGATCCTGGCGCCATGAGGAGGTCATAATCCACAGTCAGGCCTCACTGAAGTTCCATGAAGTTTCACGGGGCACCGTTTGGTACCTGATGTTAGAAGTTACAATCGTCGCACTCCGCTAGCGCGATATATTTTTCTAGGAAACTCACAGTGCAATCAAAACCCTCGGTTTCTGGTAGACCCACACAACACCTGGCGCGTGCGTGCGTTTTGGGTGGAATCCAGTGAGTCATCACCTGGTCAAGTGGTCAGGACCCAAACCAATGTAAAGAATCAACAGGGGCGGTTATCGGATACCCGTCACCCATTTATCTGCAACTTTTACGGATCCCCAAGTAAAGGACCTTTTACGACGGTGAGCTCCTTTTTGGCACCCAGCTCGCCAAATGCAGATGCTTGGGACTGTCCCAAGCTTAAGCTACCCGGGGATTTGTGGCTCTTGGCAGGTTGGCCAAAAGGGAACCCGCGTCTATGAAACTAAAGCCTGGCATAAAAATTCAGCAACAACTCAGCCAAACTCGCCTCCACGCCTGGATGGTTGCTCAGGAAAATCTCTGGCGACTTGCTGTTTACATGAATTTCTATGCAGCTGGGGAGGTGAGTGACTTCATTTGGCAAAATTCTCTGTGAGGACACAAAAGTACTCAACCTTTAGACCCAGAACTGCCAAGCCACGAGCTACGGTGGGCGGAGGCTTCAGATGCCAAGTCCTGACCTCCTGAGTTCCTGGACTTTCTTTTGGGAAGACCATTTCGTTGCCGTTGACCCCTCTAAAAAGTTTGACTGGTGGGTCCAATGACAAATCCGTTTCCAAAGTTAAAAAGTCCAAAGATGCCACAGGCAACCAACAAGTCTAGGAACCTTTTTGCCAATCCACTCGATCGGTGAGAATCTGACCCTGTTGAAGACATCTGAAAGGCCTGCCGAACCTCCCTGGCAATTCTCAGCCCCTTCCGTGCATACCCCAGGCGAAACTCATGGTGATTTGACTCATCGACTAGGAACTCAGACCGGAGCCCCCTTTATTTGGGTCATGAATTCAATCCGTGAGTCTCCTCTTCCCCTAAAAACTGCAAGTTCAAGCCTGTTGCCCCCTGCAAAGTAGTTGTGCCACCGCCGAAAAGTTACAAGTCTGGTATTGGAGTAAGAATACGTCCTTACAAGACCCTGGAAATCCAAGAGTGCAGGAAAAAGGGGGTATCTGCACAGAAACTGTTTGCGCAAAATCGTCCTCGGGTCCATGCAAATGTTCGACAGGCCGTCTTTAAGGCTTTTTGTATTACACCCTTGGATAACATCCAGATCCTAAGAAACCTATGTTGCGGCGGGAATAGGATCGAAAAGGTGTACAGGCAATCCCAGCACAAAGTATAAATGATTTGAACCAGAGTGAGCATCGAAGAATGGTCTTCTTGTGGATCTGTCCATAGTGGATCTGTTCTGGCTCACGATGGCTCTGACTCGCTGAATCTTGAAACGCGCTTGGCCCCAAAGGTTTACCCAAGCCCGCAACAAGCAGGTCCAGGAAGTACCATCGGGCCTCCGGCGGAAGATAGGGCAGCCTGAGGCCACAACGGTGTCGCTTCGCCAAGGGCGGGTTGCTTTGTTTGGGGGTTGGGGCTACCCAAAGGACCAGGCAAAAAAGAGAGCTGCAATCACCTCTTGATTTTGGCACTTTCACAAATTACGAAACACACACTGATTTGGTGAGCCACCAAGCCAGGCAAAAAAAGCCATTGCATCGCAAAACCAGCAAGCAAAAGGGGAAACGATGTTGACTCTATGCCTAGCATTTTGAAATTGCAAAAATCAACGCAACCCCATCACACTAGAAAAGTCCACCTCGCTTAAGTTCTGACACAGGGTCCCCCTCCCAAAGGTGTCCTTGACCTTGGCTGTCCTTGGCCCATCTTGGCACATGGCCTAAGCCCTAAGCCCTAAGCCGACCTATCCAGGGCTCAAACAAAAGGGCCTTTCCAACATGTGGGACTTGAGACGCTAGATTTGGGGACGTGAATGGGATCCAGCTGAAAGTTGGTTTCCTGAGGTTCAAGCGAAACCAGCAGAACATCCTCACCAAAGGGTCACCATTTTGACGAAGACGTGGGATCCCAAAGAAAAAACTCCAAAGCTTGGAACAGGAAGCCCTTCCGATTTTGCAGCTCAGAAATCCCTAGGCTAAGAACTGCCCTACCCTCGCGCCCAAATTGACATATTCTAAGGCCCAAATCCACACACACCCAGAAATCATTTTGCTCTACAAATCATTGATCTTGGGGTTTCATGTTCATCTGCAGAGGAGCAACCTTCGCTGGTTCTCAGTCTGAAGTAAATGACCATTATGAGCCATCCCGTGTGGTTTCCTACGCAATCCCTAGGCTCACACCCAAAACCTTTGTGATTCCCTGCCAAGAACCAGCAAGTGAATTCACAAGTCCTGAACTAAATGAAACCACCGGGTTTCCAGGAGCAATCATTAATTCTGCTGGTTTTGTGCCAAATCCATCGGCGAGCTGATCATTGGTCCAGACCTCTGTACCCCGGCAACGCTTTCCCTTCTGACAGGCGCTTTGGTTCGCGGGGAACTGCCGCGTCACTGGCCCTGTGAAACACATGCCTGGGAAGTCGCACGTTTCGTACCCAACAATACCACCAGAAACCCAACAGAGGCAAACCCGGGCCTTCCGATACCTCGAGGAGATGTTTCAAGTTTCTGCATGCCCCGCTGCGCCTCACCACGCCCGTGGATGAGTAGCGCTTGCTCAGCTCCTCCTCAACCTGAATGTGAAGGCTCTTTCTTCGGGAGCGGTTTTTGCGGAGCTCGATATTGAAGCCCAAACCGACTCCTCGAGAATCTTAACGCTTTCCATCGTTTGCCAGACAGTGCAACATCGGCTTCCCTTCACCCATGCTTCGGGCCAAATGGCTTCAAAGGGAAAACTTGTCGCTGAATGCGTCAACCTTGGGCATAAGGTCAGTTAAAGCACGAAAAGGTCAAGAAAGGGCCCTGTCGGCAAGCATGCGCACCGCGCCTCCTGAGCATCAGGCGTCGCAGCTGTCGCATTGGCTTGACATCCATAGAGAATGTGGCAACGATCAAATCAAAGCTCGTGCGAACATTGTAAACCGGCCGCCCGTTTCAAACGTGAGCAACCTCTCATTGGCACCCCCAAAACAGAAAGGGTGCTAGCCCAAAAGGTATGCGTTGGAACCATCCCTCCCCCGATTGGCTCTGCTTGATGCCCATCCCCATGTCTGCTGAATATCACTTCATGGGATTTGCTTCATGGGCGACTCACAGAAGTGATAAACTGGCCTGCCCCAGAAAAAGACAACACATAACCATGTCCATGGTCAGAAGTCCCAATATGCTGGGGCTTGTTGTTGTGGTTCCTCCTCAATCGACTCCCAAGATGCGCACCGCATACTGTCATGGTTCCATTACAGACTCTGGCCGAGAATTCGTAATTCTGAACATGGCCAGTTCCAACTCTTGCAATGGTTGTCTAAATTCCCACGGAGTTCCTGTTCTTCTAAAGGGGATGTGTTTGTCGTCACAGAACGGGTCATGATTCTAGGGTACCTTCCCCATTCTTTCCAGGATCCTTCTTTCTAGCAAACCTCCGGAATCCCAGGGAAAATGGCTGGTTTTTGAGAAGAACGATGGTTAAAAAGAATGGGGAATCACCCCCTAGAATGATCTTTTTCTGGCCTGGTGTCGGCTCATCAGCATCTTCAGCATGGGCCGAGAGAAGCCGCCTGTTGGGCAAATGGAAGAAGGTGACACCGGAAAGGGATCCGCTTACTGGAAACCCGCTTGTGTTTTTGGTGCAACCCCCCAAACAAGAGACGGTTTAATCTGCCAACCATCAATTCCAGGTTCGCCCATGGGCAAATCAACCGCTATGCCTCGACTTTTGTCGATTTCGATTCACATCACTTCCTGGCTGCGGGGGGCTGGCGCCAAAAAGACCACTTACTTGTTGACCACTACGGTTTTGCCCAAAAGTTTAAAGCCCATGAGCTCAGGGAGTGAGCTTCTGCTTTTCCCCTCAGAGCAGGAAAGGAGCTGCCTGGCGGCAGCCGCAGCCCTTCCACCGTTTAAATCATTTGCTCGTTTATGGGTTCTTACTTGAGGTGCCGTGTGATACTCCAAGCAGTAAGCAGTTACCATGACCATGTCCCTGTCATTTTGTTAAACCTGGGGAAACCGGCGTTCTCATCGGGGAAGCTAAAACACCAGATTTCAAACGGAAGGCTACAACCAAGAGCGCGGCTTTTCCTGGCCTCTCGGGACCCACGAGTCTGGACCGAGGCTTCCCTGAGTTGGGTATAGCTCTGATGTCGCGTGCAAAGATCAGAGGGATTGGAGACCAAAGGCTCCCTCGCTTCCGATCCGTGTGCTCATTCTCAACGATCCCTCGATCCGTACCAAAATCCTGCCTTTTCAGCCCCGGATTCAGGAGCATCACAAAGGGCAAATGATCATTTGCAAAACGGGAACAACGAAAAACCCGCCCCAGAAAGGAACCTGCCACTCTTGTTTTATGCCCAGACCCGCGAGCTTCATAGAATTTGCCCAGACAGGCCAAACGCGGCTTCAACACGGGATGCGTTCTGAGGGTATGCTTTTCTGGACTTTTGAGGCATTCAGCCTGCTGGGAACAATGAGAAAATCTGTCCAGTGAAATCAATGTCCTTCCAAACCCACAGGCACCAATTCATTTCAGCAAACGGATACCCTGAGGAAGTTGTGCGTTTCGAAACATCGAAAAAGGAGACCCTCAAAAAGTACCCCATGTAGAACAAAAAAGGCCTCGCCGCCTTCAAAAAAGCCGCTCGCCGGCACGCGGCACGCGCAGGCGCAAGCGCACGCGCGCGAGGTCTGCCTGGGCTGGGCGCCGGAGGGCTGCGCGCCGGGCTCGGCGTCGGCACCTCGCCGGGAATTTGGGGCGGGGGGGGGGAGCTTCTCGTGCAAAAAAGGAGAAGAAGAAACGAAACGCGAAGCCGAAGGTTTCAAGGCTTGATGCGTTCTTCCTCAAAGAATGTTGCGGGCTTGGTGGGCTCCGTGGCGTGGAACCTTGACTTCTTGTCAATGGAAAGAACCAAGGACAATGCCCGTTGGATCCCCGAATTGACAGTGGATGGCTGAAATTTCAGAAAGTGAACGTGCCGACCGGTTGGACGACTGAGCTCAGAAAGTTGATTCGCCCGAACACTTGTCGTTGCCCGAATGTCCGGGTGCTCTACAAGACTGGGACCCCCCCTCTGTTACACCGGGGATTTTGGTTGGTTTCCACAAACCATCTCGCGCTTACTGGTTCCAAGTCACACTCACATTTCAGAGTTAGCATCAAATACATCAAATTGGCGACACCCAATCAAATCATGGAAGGAAAATCCCAAAACGCCAGTGCAGAAACTGCTTGGTTGCTGTAACGACCCCTCTGCAAAAAGCAGTTTAACTTTTTCTGGGCCTGATGGAAAACATTCCACCGTTTCCAAAGAGGTTAAAGTCCAAAGATCCAACCAAATAAATAGCCATGAAGGTAGTGTGCTGTTACCCGGAACGAACACACGGAAGCTGGAGACTGCAACTTGGAGAGTCCCCATGTTCTTCCCATAGAAACAGCTTGTTTTCTGTCCGAGCCGGGTTCACACAGAAATGCCTTTGAGGCTCAGGTTTTAGCCACAAAGACCAAAGGCTTCACTTTTATGGAAAACAAACCCTCTGTTTCCCAAAAGGTTAAAGTCCAAAGAATTCGGCGGAGCAGTCCAAGCACCGCGAGTGACCGCTTCTTCCAAAACCGTCCGTCGCTTCTCTCCGCCTCTGACTTCGTTGGCTCCGGCGGAGCCGCCGGAGCCGCCGGAGCCAAACCCTGCGTCGGGTCCTGGAGGTCATCGTTTTGAGCTCCGGGAATCGCCAGGTCTGTGGCCAAAAACGTTGGTGGCTGGAAGAAAATGCTCTGAGGTGCCCCATGGCCAGCCATGCGGACATCTCCGGAATCCTCAAACAGCTGTCTGTTTTGGAGAGCATGCTGGCTTGAATCGCAGTGCATGTGACCAAGTGGGTTTGAAACACCAAAAGGAAAACCACATGTTTGTTTTGGCGGGGGTCCCATAAAAAAGATACACCCATGTTCTTCTTTGGCAATAGGAGAGCTTCCTGTGGCGGGTTTTTCCAGCCGAGCTCTACTTTCACGGTCGGATATGGCGGCTTTAGCCCGTCCGGGTCGACACCGCCCCGAAACAACGCATCTTGGGGTTCCATGGAAAACAACTCGGTGAAACAAGGAAGGAGCATATGTATATACATATATACATTCATCATGAAATGATGGACATCATATGTTTGTTTCAATTGGTATCCTGAAGAGGTTGATGGCTATCCCAAGCAAAGTGGTCTAGTTGGAGCCTCGCCCCGGGGCAACTTTGAGAGTCCCCCATGTCCAAGACCATAGAAACAGCTGAAATTCTGTCCGATGGGTTCACACATGTAACGCCTTTGTCGGGGGGGTACTGATTGTCACATTTTCGGTGGGAACATCCACAGGACACGCGCTTTGGGCGTCAACCATTGTGACGTAGAGACATGACTGGGGTCCCCAGATTTCCTCTGGCTACTTTACCCAAACCCGATATAGGTTTAGACAAGCTGCCCTGCTTCAAGGGAAACAAACATGAGACAATACTATACAATACTGTGGGTATATGGTCCAATTTGGGGGGCACCCAAAATGGTGGATTTGTCTCTTGGGAAACTCCTTTGAACGCCTAAACAAAGCGAACTCTAGCGGCAAGGTTAACCCTGGCTCCGGGAAACCCATACCCTCAAACAGACGCAACCGCAACCGAAGGTATCCTTCCGCTGTTGAGAAAACACCAAAGCACAAGGTAGCCATACCTCACCCTTAGTGACCCGGAAAGTTCACCTTCTGTTGCCATGATTAAACAAGGGGAAACTCAAAGGTCAAAAGCTCGGTTTGCTTTGGTCGCAAGCGACTGTTTTGAAGGGCCCCCACCAAAAAAGAAACCAGGAAGGCCAAAACGGATTTGAGCCAAGTCTAAGATGACCACCCCAGCTGAGTTTTTCCTGGCTCGACATTCACCAATTTTCCATTTGCCTAAGCCCCCCTGGAAAAATAACAGCTTCCCTTTAAAACCAAAGAGGGAAAATACCAAAATCCTCCACTTGGTCCTCGCGTAGAGGGGTTAGAATAAGGGTACTCTTTTTTCTGTAGTCTATTTTAGTAGGGAACCCTCCCCCAAAAAAAGGGGTTAGAGAAGGGCACTGGGGGAGCTTGGAAGCAACTCCGGACGCGTCTCCTCGCCCAAATCCCCGCGAGGCGCCAGCAGCCGCCGGGAGCGCACGGAGGGCCCGCCATGCCGCGGGCCGAGCTCCTGGGGTCTCTGCGGTGGCTTTTGAAGTTGGTGCCCGTTTTGGGCTGGGTTGTTACTGGGTTGAGACGTTGGAAGGGGAGCAAAAATAAATAAATTTTAGCAGCTAAGTGGGTGAATTTCCCACCAAACCACAACAAGCAAAGTGTAAAGTGCTTCCCAACAACAACCAAGATTAAGAAAAACCAAAGGAAGTGGTACCCGTTTTAAGGGTTGTTTGAAGGAAGACAAAAAAGGGCAACCATTTCTTCCGCTGCTTTTCTGTTTTTGCGGCGGGGGTCCAACAGAAGGAGGCACCCCTCTTGGGTGTGAACTTTGATAGACCCCTTGCTGGACATTGGATTCATGCCCAGCACTTGTGAGGTGGTCCCTATTTAAGTTCATCAATGTGTTTGTCTCAACGTGGTGGACCACTCCCCCCAATTTTCCACTTTAAAAAAGGGGGTTCTTTGGATTTCTCTTAAAAACAAATTTTACCCAAGCACAACGCATTTTGCCGGCATTTTGTCCGACGCACCGAAGGAGTTTTGGGACAAAGTCCAGCATCTCGAGCGAACAAACGTGAGGGGTGGGTAATTTCCTTGAGTTTCGCACTCGGATCGTACATTAATGTCATCTTCTCGTTTGGAGGTCCCCTTGTTTGATTGAAAGGCAGCATGTGTAAGCATCAAAAAAGAACACTTGGTATGAACCTTTGATTAGTGGGTGAATTGAGTTTGGTATGTTGTTGATGCTGGTTGGCAACTCTCGTTCCCTTCAAACGTGCTTGACGACAATTGTGGTGGCCAACACAAAGCTTGGTTACTCTTTGTGCTCAACCCAGTCCGTCGGAATCGCGGATCGTGCCAAACAAAGCCGTCACAAAATGAAATCAATGAAACCCTACCCACAGTCAAATTATTGTTCCTTTTGGAGATGTGTTTTAACAGGTCCTTTTGCCGCCAAAAACAACCAAACATACAAACGAAAATCCAGTCACGGTCTCCTTTTGGACCACCTTCCAAAACCGGATCGATCGATATGCTCAAGATCGGCCTTGTCCAGAAGGTCCTCCGCGTGACTGCCTCTGAGGCACTGGAAAAAGCAGCACCTCAGTTCAATGCCAACCCCTGGAGGGTGTATATTTATATTTATGTGCCAACTGAGTTTGGAAAGTGTTGGAAAGCATGCAGTGTTGTGTGGAAAGATGTGGTCGTCTTTGTTTGGGGGAGGGAGGAGCTACCGTAAATAAATGAACATATATGTGTGTATATAGCGAACCAGAATATATACATATATATATATACACATTTTCCTCTCATCCGCAAACATGGAGCCTCACAGGGGGATCCTGGAACCCTAGCTTCCTTAAAAGGGACCGCGTCATGGGTTCTATGTTAGCGGACCAAAGGATATCTGTGTGTAGATGTACAAATAGAATACGTATGTATGTGTCTCTCTCTCTCTCTCGCGCTCTCTCTCTGTCTGTCTCTACGCATAGAAAATATCTAATATCATATGTATCCTTCTGATTCTGCGACCGTGTTTTGGCGGGGACACGCTCCATAACTCTGCCAAATGGTGGGCGCCACCTTGAAAAAAAGCGCTTTGATATGCACCACAAAAAAGTATGCTTGGGGACTGTTACCTTTGTTCTTTGCTACAAGTTTGAAGCGAGTCTTGGCCTCGTGGCCAGACTATGCCTTTTGACCTAACGCAAACTTGAATTCAGTTCCGTTTTGACCTGTCTGGCAAATCTTGTTTCAGATTAAGGGGCGAAATCACGATGGTGGAAATCATGACGAGACAAGACAACTTGTGGAATGAATTTCAGGGTTCGCCCCCGAAAGGGTGGAGCTCTTTTGGCCGTGAGTCAAGCGTGAGCGCCCCATTTTGGCGTGAACGGCCTTGTCATCAGCCCCCAAATCTGTTCAATGGCCAAAAGGCGCTGCAAGCGACAAGCAGGCAGCCTGCACGCATCTGGCGATTGTAGACAGACTACCTGCCAGGCTTGCTCCAAGAGGTTCTGCCCGCAACCAAGTAGGATCGCCAGCTTGAGGCACACCGCGCAAATCCACAGCAACATGACATCACTGACAATCCACCTCAACCCGTGCTTGGCCACATCATTGCAGGTTGAGTTTTGCCTGTGGTGCGCTGCCACCCCCAAACAGTCACACGCGGGCGCAAATGCCGCCGACATGCTCGGAAATAGTTCTGCGTTGTGTTCTGAGTGGTCCGGGTCTTTACCTCCAGAGAGCCACAGAGGTCCTGGAACCAACTCTAAACTACCAAATTCCCCCAACGACCACAGTTCCCATTGTATGAGGAGCCGGATGACCTCCACGGATGGGAAGGCAAAATGGAGCGAAGGCTAGGGGCAGCGAACCACCTCCTGGAAAACACCGCAAAGCTGCGATCTGGTAGTGTTCGTGACTCGAGTGTGAAGAAGAGCATGGAAACGAAGTGGGCCGAATGGAAAAGGACAAGTGCCCTGCCACCAGCGGAAAGACTGCCGGAGAGACCAGCGCCGTGGAGTAGTGCTGTTTCGGTCCAATTGCTTGCCTGGCTTCATACTGAGCCACCGCAGAGGGTTCCCTATGCCCGGACGACAAGGACATACATTACTTCGACCATTGCCAGTTGGACGTTGTGTCAAGCTGAAGCAACTCTGGGCCAAGACCTCATGGCCAGGAACGCGGATGTCCCCTTTGCCCCGTGCGGACTTCTGGCCCCTCTGATTGCGCAATATTTTTCAATCCCTTGCTTCCTACTTTTGTCCACGCGTGACCTTGTGCGTAGTTGTCCATTCTTTTTGCGCAGAAGCAAGCAAAGAAATGCGGAGGGCCGGGCTCCACGGTTTCAGCTTCCGCTTGCTTTTTGGGTTCCCAGGCTTGCCTCGTTTTCTTGGGTTTTGGGCTGGTCTTCTTGCGAAGGGCAGAGCCGCGCAAGCAGTGCCGCCGAGCATCATTGCGTGAGCAGCTATCTGCGGCATGTCTACCCCTTCGCGCCATATGCTCGTAGCTTTTCAGCCAGCCTCAGACCTGTACTCCCAAGGCTTTGAGCCAAAGTGCAATTCCGAGATGGACGTGAACATGCTACCCTCAACTCCGAGAAGGGGCCCTCAGTGAGCTTCAGCTGGTATTCTTGAAAATCCTCGGGAGCGGGTTTGCTGGTTCGCTCATCTAACCACGCAAGATCTCCACGCGGACTTCTGCCGGAGCCTGCCAATTTGTGGGGTCAAGAAGAGAAGTGTCATATTGCAGCGGCTTTGCCGCCAACTGGCGCGCGATCTGGATAGTAGGAGCTGATCTGGACAAGAGGCCCAAGGTTGCCTTTGCATAGAGGCAGGCTGCCAGGCTCGTGAGGTCCAAGCAGCGTCGCAGGATTGCTTCTGGACTGCGCAATTTGTCCCTGCGAGCGACGCCAATGTCGGCCAAGGCTGCGGCTGACCGCTTCCCAAAAACTTGGATTTGCGGCGTGTGTAGAATGCAATACGGGATTGTGCGAGTTGACTTGAAAAATATCGTTGCCAGGTTTTCGTCTGACTGGTGGGACAGTGGAAGATGTGGGGTTGCGCTTAGAGGAGGGAAGAGGGTGGAGCGGGGGCGGCAAAAAGGTTGGGAGCACATGTCAAATTCTTCCTACCAGCGTTTACCATCTAGCTTTACCATCCGGCATTGCTCTCATTTTGTGCCTTCTTCCTCTTCTTCTTTGCCTTGCTCCGTGGCCTCCATTTCCCAGCCCAAGCCTGTAGGCATTGGTTTTCTGTTGGCAGTGCCACCACGCAACATGAAACTATTTGTGTGTGTTGGAGGGAGCGTTGATAGAACAGAACAGTGGTATGTTGATGGTGGTAGGCATAAGGATGTACAGCTTAGTGGACTGCTGTAAAAGTCAACCAGTAGAAAGCACATGGCGGCACATGATGGCACATGATGCTTGGTTGCTCAAGACGACGCAGCTTTTTGGGAAGAATCAACTTTGATGAATGCTCTTCTGGGCTTAAGGGCCAGCACGTGTGATCACACATTGAATTCAAACAAGCATGTGAAGACTGAAGCAAAGCCTACCCTTGAGTCGCAACATCAAAACATGCGGGATGTGCTCGGCAGACCAATCAGGTCAATCACCCCATGTTAATAACCAGACTCTACTTGGTTCCTTAGAGTTGCTCCCATATGCAACAGCAGCCGTGATCGCTGGAACGTCGGCTGATCACTGAAAAGCGCATGGAGGCGAATGGGCATGGACCACCCACCTGGCTAGCAGGCTCTTTGTTTCGACGCCTCCACCGCCTGCGGACATGTCAACATGGATCATGGATTTGTTTGGTAAGCAAAGCGAGGCATATCGCGGCATCCTCTCATCGCAACTGCCAGGGCATAATGGCATTGCAAAGCGACCTAGACTGCTATCATGTAGTTGTGAAGCATGCAAAGTATTTTCAGGCGCAAAGTACCTACCTCTTCCGCAACATCCACCACCTTCACAGACACGGAGGCCAAGGGCGTCCCTGGCAAAGATCCTCCGGCTTTAGAATTGCCAAATGCCGCGAAGGGATGCGGGCAATGATGGTGGTGCGCACGTTCAAAGCTTCCACAACGCCAGCAGCGCCAACTGCCATGTGGTTGGCACTGCACGCAGGGGCGGCGCGGAACCATGGCTTGAGGTCTTCAGGGGCTGCTGTGCGTGGGGGGTCGCCCGGCTGCATGCTGAGGCATGCAGCCAGACCTCTGTGCAAAACCACCTCTGGCAAGTGCAACGAACATGACCCTGGCTTCTTTTTGCCCTTGGTACGCCAAAGTCACCGCAAGCAGTGGTTTCGATTGGCTGGGGAATTTGAACTCAGAACTCCCTCCTCTTCAAACCAGATGGGAACTCTGTGACTCTGCAGAGCTGTCTGCGCGCCCGATGTTTCAATCCATGCCAGATAGCGCAGCGACGTGCCAACCACGTGCGGCTGTAGTTGAAGCGGGTTCTGTGTCGACGCATGCTCCGTAGCAGCGCACCACTCTGTGAAAGAGGAGCTGCGTGTGCAGCCGCAACAAAAAGCTCGCTTGAGGCCAACACACGTTTGCTCTTTAGGCGCCCATCCATTCGACAGAGCAGCCCTGCGTCCACAGCTTCTCCATGTCTCGCTTGGCCTTTGGCAGCGCCTGTGCCATCACAGTCACGTCTTGCTGCAAGAATTGCACTGCGTTGAAGCTGCCGCCGCGCACAGCGGTTGCTTGGTTGTCTTGTCGACAGCGCGTACCACCTGAGCAGCAACACTCACTCCACCAAATTCTTTCAATAAGCCAAGATTTCCACTACGCCACCAGGACCACAAGTCTTTTGAAACATGCTGAGCCTTCCGTGGCTCGAGCACGCTTTTCCACCGGCGCCCTTCCGAAACTCCAGGTTCACACACGGAGCGAGGCTTGGTCATTCCTCGTTTAGCGTCAGTTCAAAATCATGGTTGTGCAAAATAGGCCCAGGTGCGATCTTGCTTCAGAACCCTCCCTGAAAGCTGCTCTGGCGACGCACGCAAGAAACATATGGATGGGCGCCGTCCGGAGGTGGCTTATGACGGTTTTGACGGTTTCAGTCACCAGCGGAAGGCAGTTCATTGCAGTTGTGTGAAGTGGCAAGGTTGCGGGCTTTCAAGTCAGATCCTCGGAGTTTCCCTCCTGCAGCGACGATGGCACAGCGCCCGTGTGTGCCAACAACACTGCTCAGCAAAATCTGGCTTCGCACGTGGAGCGCACAAAGCATGGGGGCCAGTGCGCGGGGCGACTGCACACATTCAAAAGTGCAAACATGAACATGCACGCGCACACACACATATCCAAAAAAGCTATGGACAAGGTGTCAAAGGGCAGGAGCCAAGGGACCAGGAACCAAGGGACCGACCTGCCAGATGGTGTGTGTCACCCTGCAAAAAGCATTTTGATATGCGACACCGAAGCGAATCTTGGCCTCGTGGCCAGTGGGTGACTTTTGACCCAACACAAACTGGAAATCAGTTCAGTTTTGACCTGTCTGACAAATCTTGTTTGAGATGAAGGGGCGACATCTCGATGGTTGAAACCATGACGAAACAACTTGTGGAATTCCAGGATTCGCCCTTCAAAGGGTGGAGCTCTTTAGCCGTGAGTCAAGCGTGAGAGCCGCCCCATTTTGGCGTGAACGTCCTTGATTTGGCGCGAACCACTTAAACTGCGAATAAACCGCGAGTAAACCGTGAGTAAACAGACGGACAAAATTCATGTGAGTAAAACGCATTGAAATCTGGTCCACTGACGTCAGACCCCTCAAAAACTGGACCGTGAGTAAACCGTCCACCCTGTTTTGGCGTGAAAGACCCTGATTTGGCGCGCCAAATCACGTCCTGGCCAAGTGGGGGAGCGATCGCACCCCCGCACTTTTGAGGAGTGTCTGTTCTCAAAAAAACAGGATACCGGCTGCGCGCAGCTAAGTTGCGCTGGGCCAGCATTGAGCCAAAACAGCCGCGTTTGCAGTGAAAAAACATAATTTGTTTTTTTTTGCCCTGACCTTTGAAACACCCCAGTGAAAACTGTGCCTTTTCTGCGGTGAAACACCCCAACAACAGGGTGCGTTTGTGACGGGGGCACTCCGTAACTTTTTCCCGCCACCTTCTTTTTGCGGGTGGTGTGTTGCACGACCGTGTTTTAGCGGGTGGCTGGAATCTGAAGGTAGGTGTATAAAGGCACCCAACGTGCCGTTTTTTTTTTAGGTACGCGATTACGTTCGAATCACCGATTTCTGCTCGACCCCCTACAAAAGCCCCCCCCCCACCCCCGGAAAAAACGCTCGATCAAATCCACTTCTTCTATCCGGAGGAAGGCGAGCAATTGTTACTTGTTTTTTCGTAAGCAAATTGCACTCGTTTTGCGGATATTTGCGCTCGTCTTGCACTTCGATGTCTGCTCGCTCCTTTCAGCGACCGTGGGGGTCTCGCGCCCGAGGTTCTCTATATATCGGGTTCCCTTTTCAGGTTGGTCCTCAGATTCGAAATGAGCAGAACTCGGGAGAGGATGAAACAGCGGGCAAAGATGTCAGGCAGTCGACCAAACCAAGCTATTCGTTGAAACATCTCGAAAAGGACCAAAGGGACCCCACCACATTTCTACCACACGTTGTTGGGTTGAGCTTCGGAACCGGCAGTCAAAACTGAAAAACATGGTTCGAGGACCCAAACACATCCGCAAGGCGACACGTGCTTGACAAATCTGGAGGCGCATGAATCCACGCAGTAATCGCCCCAGCCACTTCCCAACTTTGTGAAAACTGCTCTCTGCCCGTCATTCAAATAAGATCAAAGAACGCAAACACACCATCGATGACGATCAAGCTGGGTTGCGGCTGGGAAACAAAGCCGTGAGAAGCAAACTGAAACCAGTGCCATTCATCTCAATCAAAATGATCGGAACGGACACCTCTCAATTTGAATCGCCAAACAAAACCCGAGTAAGAGTTAGCAGGATCTGTGTCGGCTTCATAGATACAAGACCACGGGCTTTGGGTTCTCATACAACGCATCCGGAAACTTAGGGCGCCTGATGTGGACATCTCAACTCAAGTTCAGGACGTGCGATGAAAATCGAAGGCCAACGCCGATGACCACCCGAAGAAACGCAAAGAGGCGCCTATGTTGGGGGAAAAAACAAACTCCGACAATTCGGAGTACTTGGGAAACCAAGTGAGACAACAGCAACTGTCCGCCCTCCGGTTGCCCACACAATGTCCGAACTTTTGTTTGCCACTGGAATGGTCAAAAACCGAACAAGTACAGAGTCCAGGAACTCGGGGGGACTGAGTCTTCAACCGGCTGCCAGCTGGTTCCGCACCGTCCCGAAACCGCCCTGCCGATTAAATCCAAAGCGCCAGTTCTCATAGCTCACCGTATCCAAAGATGCCGCACCAAGCACCTGACCCCGGATGAGTCAGCCGGCCATCTTGGCTTTGCGCTGGTTGACCCTTTGTCGGGTCCTTAGGGTAGAACTGTCGAACTTTGGGTCTTGGTAAAGAAGCCCCGAATGCAAACCTTCGCCAATCGGTTCTACGCCTTTGCTGGCCGGAAATCCCAGTTGGAATTTGGAGAAGATGAAACGCAACCAAAATGAAACCAGGAAATTCATCTGTGGAACCAACCAAAGTCCAAGGACCTTCACTTCAGTTGGACCCTTTCCACGTCACGCTTCTTGAAGAGAAGCAAGAGGGTTCCGCATAAGAGGCGGACTTGAAGGCCTACCTAAAGGTCTGGCGTACCTGTTTTGGGTGCACTTGTGGACCGGGAGTGGACATTTGGGTCCAAATGGCAAGGACAAGGACCTATTGATGTTTTGTTCTCTAAGACACGATTGGATTCTTCTGCCAGAAACACAAGATACTTGCAATTGACCATGGTTGGTTGGTTGGTTGGTTGGTTGGTTGGTTGGTTGGTTGGTTGGTTGGTTGGTTGGTTGGTTGGTTGGTTGGTTGGTTGGTTGGTTGGTTGGTTGGTTGGTTGGTTGGTTGGTTGGTTGGTTGGTTGGTTGGTTGGTTGGTTGGTTGGTTGGTTGGTTGGTTGGGTGGGTGGGTGGGTGGGTGGGTGGGTCGGTCGGTCGGTCGGTCGGTCGGTCGGTTTATTAGCTGGCTGGCTGGTTGGTTGGCTGGCTGGCTGGTTGGGTGGCTGGCTGGTTGGTTAGTTGGTTGGGATGTTGGTTGGTTGGTTGGTTTACTCGTGTAGTGAGAATCAACCGCGGTTGTGGTTTGGCCTCAACTGGGCTTGAAGAACGTCTACTTTGGCTCAGCAGGATTCAACGAATATGCCAAAAAAGGATTAAGCGAGCAGCGGAAACCTGTCCCTTGCCTTCACTTCCAAAGAATAGGGGAGAGCAATATCCAGCCCTTTTCATTCCAGGAGAAATGGGTGCGCCAAACTGCTGCGTCCAAATATCTCCCACCAAACGTGGGGCAGTTCGTACAGCCGGGCACTTCCAGAAAATTGTCCGGAAAAATTCGAGTCTTTTGAAGGTCTCTTCAGACCTCAATCGACAACAACAACTCCAAGGTCCACCGCTATCAACGGCTGGCCCCTTTCCAGGTGCTTTGAAGCCTCGAGGGAAAATACAAAGCCGCTCTCGCAGGAGCTCCGTCACTAACCTGAAAGGCACAAAGAGTTGGAACGTTTGGGTGGAATCCAATGAACTCCCCAGCTATTGCCCAACTATAATCAGCATTTGTAGGTCCCGGTTACATATCTTGCGTGAGCCTCAGCAATGTCAAATACGATCAACAGAGGCCCAGAATTGCGTTGGGGTGACAATAGGGATTTGGACCCTCATAATTTTTCTAAGGGTGGCTCTCATGTTGGTTTGCCTTGAATCACGTTGCCCCCTCAAAATTGATTCGGCTTGGTCTGGATGTAGGGGCCAACTGCCCCTTGTGCCGAAAGGGGGTCAAATCCAAACCGCAACCAAAGACCAAGCTAACAACGAAACCTATCGGTACCTGCCTTGGTAAAGATGATCTGCAGGGGCTGACCATTCTCCTCGAACGGGACACAGGTTGTGTCGCCTCTGGTTCGCTTCTCCCTTTATTTCTGGGGTGTTGCTACTCGTTTGTTTCTCGGATGGCATTTACTCACCAGATTTGGACGATATTTTTGTGGGGTTTGAGTTTGGCGTATATTTTTCTCGCCAACCGCTGAGCGCTATGGGTCTTCGCCCAAATAAGCTCTGGTTGGCGTGATGCGGTCCCTAAAACATTGTCCGTTACCTGGGCCCAGCGGCCTGTTTGGGGTGTGAGCGGCCTTTTGGATCGATTCCTCTGGGGTTCACGCGGAACTTGGGATTCAAGGCTCCAGCTTGGAACAGCACAGCATTTGGGGGTTGTTGAGGCTACCCCTTTGGTTTTGAAGGGAAACCAAAGGAACAAAACATATTTGATGGGGTCCCCCCAACAAAAAACAGACCCACTTGATGATTGATTCTCAAGTTGAAATCCAAACCAGCTTGAGCTTCATTTTGGGAATCAGGCCCGCGCAAAGCGGAACAACAACACAAAGATCCTTTCGCTAGATGAAATCGAAGGACTATGTGCCGCTGGGCCATGCCCCAAATGCATGCCGTTGCCTACCAATGCATACCTGTTATGCTATGTTATGTTATGTTATGCTATGTATAGATAGATAGATAGACAGATGGATGGATGGATGCATGGATGGATGGATGGATGGATGGATGGATCGATCGACAGGCGGGCAGGCAGACAGACAAACAAACAGATAGATAGCTAGCACTCTTTTTCCCTTTGAATTACCCAACTTGTCGTGACGTTTAGGTTTGGTTTCCCGTTGGTTTCCAGTGAGGCACATGAAAACAGATCAGATCCTCCATCGGTCTCCAGCTCCGGGGAGGGGCTTCCCGGGCTTGGGCTGGGGAGTTTGGGCCTGAAATGAGATCCCAAACGCTGTTCCCTAAGAAAACACTTTTCGCAAATCACACAGCAAACAAAGGGAGAAACAACAGAACAACCCGGGTGGCTTCGCTGCGGTTTTCCTGCCCCCAAAAAAGCGGCCAACGCGATCAACTCCTCTAGCTGCTCTTGGATGGGCTCCAGTTCCGCCATCCACTCGGTCCGCGAGAATGCGCCTCGAGTCAGAGTCAGTTAGTACGCCTGGCTACAACCCATTCAACCAAGACATACACCTTCAAGGAGGTTATAACCCATGGCAAATTGAAGTACCCTAACTAGAAGTACCAAACTTGGTAGCAGAAGGTAGTGGCAAATGGAAGTACCAAATATTCGTTTCAGCAACTAGCAGGACCCTAAACGCCTTGGGGCGCCAGAGTGTTGAAGGCGCGCGCCAGGGAGCCGTAGCGCTCCACCAAAGACCTGGAGAGATGGCGAGAGATGAGTCACTTGCTCAAAACCCTCTGCATCAACATGGTCGTAATCCCAGAGCCATGCTTCAAGAATTAAGAAGGCGGATATCCGCTATTTTTGGTTGGGAGTATCCCTTACCTATGTTCATCTACCCGGGTTTTGATTGTGGCTCAGATGGTCGACGCGTTGCGAAGGATCCACTCCCATGGCTGGGCCGAGAAAAAGTCGAAGACTTCTCTGAGCTAGGTCCTCCAGATTTGAGAGGTTAGAATAAGGGTACCCGAATTTTTTTCTGCAGTCTATTTTAGTAGGGCCCAAAAAAGGGGTGAGAAAGGGCACTACTGGGGGACCTAGTCTGGCTTGCCGGAGCAACCCAGTTGCGTTTCGCTTGGGTGAATGTTGCTCACTGCAGTGCACCAAACATGAGCATGCTCCCAAGACTCACTGCTGAATGGAGCCTTCTCATTGTTTGGGATTGCATGGATTCCCAGCTTTCCATTTGCCGGTGGTCTTTCTTTTTGACGACCATTCCAGTGGGTTCAGAACCAGTCCAGGAGCTGGGGAATGTCGACATCCCTGGCAGAATTGGGCAGAAACAGTGAAGACACATGTCAATCCTGAAAGGGACACCACTGGCCGCCTAGCCAATGTTCTATAGTGAGTAAAAATCATTTAACATACCCAACCAATGGGTACAGTTGGTACACGCGATATGTCAGCCTGCAAATGGGTGGGCCACAATTGGGGGTCCATGTGCTACCTGACTGTTGCTCACTATACCCCGCAAAAATTGGCTTGGGAAATCCAGAAGGGCGAAGTGTGGTGAATTTCTGGACGTTTGAAGGTTGCCAGCATGTTGGATGCGGTCCCCATCAAAAGTCACAGCTATTAGGGTTTGTCTCAAACTGGGTTCCCACGAAATGAGTACTTACCCTCTTATTTGCCTTTCACACTACCCCACCAAGGGTACCAAAACGTCGGAACACAAACACACACCCATTTCCCGACAGCGTCAAACGGCTGAACACTTCAGCCCCATGACTTCAAAAGGGTTTCTTCGATCTAGGAGCATTGCCCCCCAAATGGTGGCTTCTTTTGATTGTGGTGGAATTTCAAATTGCAAAATTGTATCCTTTAAGCAGCCCGGCTCCCATGCTTCCTTTTGGACAATCATAACTGGCATTAGTACATGAGTCGAACACATTAGAGCCCAACAAAAGCCAGCGCCGTTTCAACCAAACTTACCTAAGTCCTCCGGTAGAGAGGTTAGAATAAGGGTACCCGATTTTTTCTGTAGTCTATTTTAGTAGGGTCCCGAACCATCACGAACAAAAATCGCCCAGTTCGGACCCACAAACCACCAACTCACCTTTTGGGGCCATGACTATGGTTGCCAAACAGCGGAAGCTGAAAGGTCAAAGCAAACTAACCCAAAAGGGACTCTTTTCCGAGCCGACCCCTTGCCTCGCCACTGCCGCAGCCAGACGCGTGCTAAAGCTCTCCGCGGCATCCTTGGAAGGTTCAGGCGTCCCACGGCCCCGTGAAACGTCAAGCAGAGATGACCTTTGTCCCCTGGGAGGTCCCTGATATGTGCCCCTTTGTGTCCAGTGCCCAAATGGAGATGACCTTTATATGTCCCTTCCCTGATATGTCCCCTCCCCTGATATGTCCCCTCGGCCTGATATGTGCCCCTTTGTGTCCAGTGCCCAAGATGATCTTAACCTCTTGTCGAAAGGGGATTAGTCTCAATTGTGTTGACACGGGGCAGAGGAGGTGTTTATCCTTTCTTTTTCAGATTCCAGCCCTTCGATTTACCGGACTGATACGCATGCTCCCTGGCTATCCGCGAGGGTCCTTTTGTGGCCCCCGGGCGCTGAAACATCACCTCTTGGTTGCAACAAGTTTATTTGGGCACCCGGCCCACACATCGCGGTCAAGCATCGGCGTACACATATGTCTTACATGATGTATGCTCTGCATAGCGGATCGAATTGCATGATATAGTGACACAAACGCCACGGGAAAGTGGAAAAGTCCTAAAGCAACATCGAAACACAAGCAAAACAAGACATAGCCAGCCAGTCCGGGATCCGCAAGAACGCAAGGACCCCTTCCGTATATCATTTCCCATGCATTATTTGGGCTGGGGATACCCGACACTACACCTCTGCGGGCTGTGTGGCTCCTCCAAACAAGCTAGCTGAGGGTCCCCGCAGGCTCAGGAAACTTCGGCGGACATAAACTGAAGTATGTGGTTCCCCGCGCAAACCCAACCAGGTTTGCGCAATCAAAGGTCTAAACCACCTCAGCTTTGTCCCCACCCCCAAGAAAGGCTTGATTCTGACCCATATGCAGAAAACCTTAGCATTTTAACTCATTTCCATGAGCGTATGCATCAAAATTGGGGGACCACCCTGAAATAACGGCGGTGTTGCTTTTGTCCTCCCTTTAAATCCACCCCAAAAAGGGGACCCAAAAAAAAACACGCGCACGCCCACAAAGTATGTGAGAGAGAGAGAGAGTATGTCGAGTCTTTATGTGGTAACGGGTTAAGAGGTTAGGAAAGAGAACATGTGAGGAAAGCCAACTAATTTCTGAGGCTTTCCATGGCATCTAATCTCTTTCACATATCTTCATTCCTCTACACACACATGTTAACAGCCGCATGTTCGCTTCATGATCCAAACCTATCAGTTCCGAGTTGCGCAGAAAAAACCACTGCTGGACACGGAGAGCGGAGTCAACGGCCTGTCGAGACGAGGCTCGTGCCGTGAGGACGTCTGATTCGTTGCCCAGTTTGGACCCACAAACAACAAGATGGGCAACTGAGAATCAGACAACTAATAAACCAACAAAGGCCCAATCAGACCCACAAACAAAGGATTCAAGATGACCTTTGGGACCAAACAACGAATTGCCCACGTTGTACCCACCAACAAGATAGCCTTTGGGGCCATCACGAAAATACTTGTCCAGCTCGGACCCACAAGCAACCAGTTCACCTTTTGGGGCCGTGACTATGTTTGCCGAAGAGGGGGAGCGGAAAAAGGTCAAAGCTCGGCCTTGGTCAACTGAGATTCTGAGCTTTCCGCACACGCAGAAAGTTCCAGTGGTTGTGGTTCATGGGGAAAACACAAACTTGTCCGAACGAGCTCAGGTTTAAACATCTAACCAAGCAGAAGCCAAGAGGGAGTTCTTAAGTACAGTTTTTTGAATTTGATACCCCTAAGAGTAAATCCAAAGCCCAAAGCCTCCGTCCGCACAAAAGAAAGCCGTGGGGGAGGCTTAAGGTCATCGATCACAATTGACTTTCACGACTATCCCCCCCCCCAAAAAAAAAAAAAAGAGAGTGAAACTTGTGGGCTCGGTTCTTTGCGGGCAAGGCACAAGGTGCGGCTAGGAACGCCGCCAATCAGGGTAAGCTATGGGACATGAATACAAGAAGGGCCTCAATGATGACCCGCCTCCCTATTCGTTTAGGGAATTGGAGTTGTCCCCGAAATTCCCTACTTGCCTAACATGCGGGGAATTCACCGTACCCGAACCACCTGGCCAACCAAATGGACAATTCCAACCCTTGGTATCTTGCTGGATGACCTTCGCAGCCCACTCAAGGCTCAAACAACTAAGGCATATCGTGGGATATGAATAACAAACCACTGCTTGTCCTGGCTGCAACCCATGTCAGAATGGATCTTGGAAAAGTTGTACTCCTTGAATCCGGTTGCCCACATCCGGAAGTCAATAAGGAACAACACCCTTAGGGAATCACGTAGCGTGGGCGCCCACTGATTGCGGACCGCAATTGGAGCAGTCAACCACAAGTCGTCGAACCTCCAGCTGGGCAAACCAAATTAGTTGCCTTGTACCACCAAATCTGAGACTTAAACCAAATCAGTTACCTTCTACCATCACACCAAATCTGAGACTCAAGAACAGTAAGGACAGCACACCAAATCAGTAAATATCTTCAAGCCAAATCAGTGACCCGCATCTGCACAAGCTCGCGACATAATCAGTGCTCATGAAAAACAAAAAAAACAGGGCGCCACCAGGTGTTCACGAAAACGTAGACGGTGCTTCACTTTCTCGGTTTCCGCTCTGTTTCGCTGGGTCAAGGTTTCCATGTCGAATTGGGTCTGTCTTTTTTTTGGGGGACCCCCCTCCAACAAAAAGACGGTTGTCTTCCTTTTGGCTTCTCTTTAAAAACCAAACCAAAGTAGCAACTCCCAAAAAGGCACCCAATTGTTGAACACCATACTGAAGGGCTTAGTCTTTGGGGAACCCTTCTGGTGGACAATAAGCAAACAAATGGGACACCTGTTTTCGCGTGTCCCACCAGATCCAGTACAGCCATGCCCTTTATTCGTATGCCTCCCTCCACTTTGGGCTAAGGATGCCTCCCACATTGCAACCATACCATTTCTTGTGTGGCCAAACCGCCTCAAAAGCCAAGCTCAGGTATCCCAACAGCAACCCTTCCGGAACCCTTCCGGAACCCTCGCACAACAAGTCTGCCCCGCCCCAGCCGGCCAGAGCCTCTCCGGGCAGAAACTCTGAGACCTCAGAGCTTTCAGCTGGCACGGGCCCAGCAAACAAGTCTAGACAGCGAAAAGGAGCGATTCTGGGGGTTGATTCCTTTTCCATTCTTTTCAAACATCGTTCTTTTCAATCACCTGCCGCTTCTTTGGGTTTCGGAAGGTTTTCTAGAAAGAAGCATTCCTGGAAGAAAAGAATATACGCCTAGAGCGATTCCTCGAGAGGACCAAAATCATCCCAAACCGGCTTCCGTCAAGCTGGTCGAAGCTTAAAAGTGGATCAAGATTTGGAGAACAAAAGGGCCTTTCAAAAGGGTTTTTAAGGTTGATTCGCTTTGGGCAAGTCCTTAGATTCATTGCTGCACATGGGTTGCTCTCTCTCTCTCTCTCTCTCTCTCTCTTTATGAGGGAAGCTAACGGCTTTGCTTTCAACACAAGGCTTCTTTCCTACCAACCGCAGAAAGGCGAAGACACCCAAACTTGGGGAAGCCCCCAAAAAGGGTGTTTCCAACTTGGAAGTCCTGCAAACCATGTGATTTTTGAGGGGATCCTTTCTAGTCAAGTTTCTAGTTGATCCAGGGCTTCCGGTTACCACTATAGCATCATGTAAGACCTAGAGGGAAGAAGGTTTGGTTACCCACCATGTCCTTACAGGACTGCTGGCTCCTTAAGCTCCCGCTTAAACAGCAAATTTGGATACCCCAATGGCTCCCCTTCCAACCACAAGCTAGTTACCTACTCTAGTGGTACTGTTGACCCGGTTTCTCACGGGGGGTGCTTTTCCCTGGGTTTCGTGGGGGATTCAGACTTTTGGAGGGGCCCCCACCCCCTATTCATCGACTGGGGTTGATTGATACTGTGGATGGACGGAATCCATTTCGCACCACCCAAGACACCCTGGAATGATTCGATTCCCCAACGTAAATACCAGCCAACGTTAGGTTTCAACTGTGGTTTCAAACTGGTGCGAACGGATTCTCTCCATCCACAGTATCACCCCAAAGTTATGGGATGGTTTGATCTCCTCTTGGTCCAGGTAATCCTTTCGATCTTTGGAGCCTGTCTGATTCTCCATTCTCATCCACAGTATGGGGTCACCATACATGGGGAGCCACTGGGCTAACGGCTGACCAACAAAAACCACCGAAAACCGCGCCTCGGCGTCGCGGAGGAGCTGCTCGCCCTCGGCCGTTGAACCGGCCGTCGTTCCCTCCCCCCCCCTGTGAAAGCGACGTGGAGGGTCAACTAAGACCAATGGTGCAGGGTATGACATGACATGATATAAGATGGTATGGTATGTTATGGTATGGTATGTTATGGTATGGTATGGTATGGTATTATAGTATGATATTTGCCTTGGTCATTCTATTAACCACCCGGTGCAGGATTTTGCATGGCCACGATCGCGAGGGAGGCTCCACGGTTTTGACTCTGTCTCTCCTGAAACCTTTTGAACGTAACTCGATTGACAGCAGCCAAACTTCGCTTCTTCCAAGAAAACCCTACCAGTTCGTTGGTTTTTTCCTTTTTCCCATGTCGCCACAAGAGGACAGACCCACGAAAGCGATAGGCTCGCAACTCGAAGGGAGCGGGCGTCCATGGCTTGGCTTGCTTGGGTGGCTTCCCTGGATCCGTTCCACTCAGCCCATGGTCCAACCCACAGACCCACCAATCCGCTTGGGGAGGACCATTCATTTTGCCAAGCTCCGGCGCGCTCACAAGAGGTGCCGTGGAATGCTCCGAGAAAAGAAGAAGAGTGCTATGTGCCACTCCACAACTTGTTTTCCACGTGGGGGTTCCCCATCAGCCCATCCCATCTCGAGGAATCAATCTCCGTACGAGCCACTGTTCCATTTCCACTTGGCTCCCGGACAAGCCTCCCGGTCTCATGCCAAAGCCTCGAGCCTCCCAAAGCGAGGCGGCGGGTTGTTTTTTTTGGTTGTTTCCCCCCGGTTTTCCTTTCGGAACCGAAACGGATGGAACCCAAACGTGGGGGAAGGCCAGCCTAAAGATCATGCGTTTTTGGGGTGCGAAGCAAATCTACAGATTAGCAGATTCGCTGGATCAAGACGCGGTCGTCATCAAGTAAGGATCAAAGGTCTTCGAAACCTTCAGGGAAACTTCAAGGTGCCGATGTTCGAACATGGCTCTGGGTCTTCCTGACTCCCCACAAAACTGCGACTCTCGATGACTATCCAACCAAACCTCAACTGAAAGGCTTTAAGAAAGAACGTGACCATTCCTGCCAACCTCAGGCACAAACGAGCCCCAAATGGGCAATTGGGGTGGCCCCACAATAGACGACTTGTCACAGACATGACCTCTGGGCATGAGTGTTAATTAAGGACCCTTGGGTGCACATCATGGTGGGGATCTACGCCCACCGGCCCCTTTCGAGGTGGTTCCCTATGAAAATTCATGGCCATGTTGTCGACCGAACCTCCTGCGAGGTCAACCCCCCTGGTCTTTGTTGCGCCTCCTCTATGCCGTTCGCCTTTCTCGGACGGACGCGGCCTCTCTGCCGAAGCCTCGCGGAGGCTTAGTGATGGGGGATGGGTCAAAATTATCGTTGGGGTGTTTAAAGGGGTCCCACGTCAGGTTGGTTAAAGGGGAACCCGACGTGTCAAACGGTGGATGGTTGCGAAATCTATTTGGCACGGAATGAAACCAGGGTTGAAACCAGAACGTTTGTCGGTATTTGCAGGAGGTTTCTTAGGCAGTGCAGGATTTCGTCCATCCAAAGTAGGGGGGGACTTTGGTTGCCCTTTGAACCAACCTGAAATGCGCCCCCTGAAAACACACAAAACCAGCCTAAGCTTGTGAGGCCATGGGGAAAAGGCAGCGTTGCGTACATGGCCAAACTGCGTCAAAACCAAAACTTACTCTCGGAGCGGGGAACTGCCTGAGTGTCTGCGGTACATTTCTGTAGTCAGACCACTGAAGACATAGAGGCAATGGACCTTTGGAGAGCGGGTAGCCACGGTCAACATGTCTAGGGTTGCCAACTCAAAACCCCAAGCGATATGAATCACAATCAACGCCTGGTACTAAACAGGTCTACCCAAATCCATGAACCAAAAAGCGCGGATCTCTACCTTCTGATGGCTTTTGCTGTTTTTTAAAGCCCAAGTACAAGGGACCCTCTGAACATTGGGAGATACGGTTCCTTACCCTTCTCGACTTTTGGAGATCGCCGGCTGAGTCGCCCGGCTGCTTTAAGGGCCGCCGCGCAGGGAGGAACCCTTGGGACGCCATGCATCACCGATGGATCCCTGCCGGTCTGCGATACGTTGCCTAAAACAAAATGTGGGGTCTTGGAGGTTGCCCCCTTTTTGGAGTTGCTTGTTTCTTGAAGAGTGGGCCAATGATAACTGAGCTGACTTTCTTGTGACACTCTCGAGGTTGTACATGTGGCAATGCCAAAACAAAGCCCTGCGCAGCAGTACCTCAAGTCGACTTCCGGCCGCCATCTATCTGTAGCCCCATTTCGACTCGCACCCGTATTGGCTTGAATGAACAATTGAACACCCCTTGGCAAACATGACAATTACATGACATGTTACACCTGCTTCAGCCAGTTTGAAGGATGCTTCACATCAAAATTCAAAACCCACACAACCACGGCGTCATTCACTTCCTCCTAAGCCTGAAAAGAATGCATAAGAACTTGCAATGACAGCCCTTTTTTGCCGAACTCCCTTACCGTGCCCCAGAAAAACGATCGCTCACCGACAAAAACATGAAGTGAAAATCACCCAATGACCATGCAAGTTGTGACCCACATGACTGGCCGGGGCTCGGGGCGTGGCTCAACGCTGGCACAGGGCGCGCGCGGGGCGCGGGCGGGTGGCGAGCGCCAGTCAAGGGCCAAAGCTGTGTGCAGGGTCAAAACTATGAAGCTTTCCCCAAGAGGACATGGGAAAAATAGTGGGTCACCCTGGTTCTTCTTGTGAGTTCCACTATGTCTCTCCAAAATAAACCATAGACTACAAAGACTGTGCCAATTTGGCCCCGCTCGGAGATACCAAAGTGGAATTCAGCGGTCCCCAGCTACAATTCAGCGTCGGTCTTCTGCTTTGAAGAAGAAGCCAAAGAGGAACCACCCATTTTCAACCTCCCCCCCATTTGGAAACCCCATATTCAGTGACCTCAAGTCGAAAAAACATCCCAAAGCGGCCGTTCGGCTAATTTTTGCGGCCCCTGGGCTCCGAAAGTGCCGTTCCCGTGCCCTGCGCACCACGAAGCCTATGGTGCACTCTGAGCCAAAGGAATCAAGGCGGAGATCCTCCCCCCATTGGTTGGGATTGTCCCTTACTAAGCTTCATCCAGCCGGGGGTTTGCTTGTGGCTCATGTGAGCGGTTCCTGCCGGTTAGTAGGGAAGCAGTCATTCTCCGGAAGGATATTAATTCCGCGCGGCAAAAAAAAAAAACACAAAAAGCATGAGGAGAAGCCTTTGCGGCTACCCACCCTTCAACAACACTTTTCTGTGAATGTTGCTTGAGACCCTGGCCTGAGGGGTGGGCAACACCAGCTAGAAAACAACCTAACTAACTGATAACTAGCACGTAGGACACACACACACACGCACACATACCAAACAACCGACCAACCAACCAGCCAGCCAGCCAGCCAGGCAGCCAGCAAGCAAGCAAGCAAACAAGCACACAGCCTGGCAACCAAAGGCAACCAGGAAGCCATCAAACAAAATCACACACACACACACACGTTCAAGGCGCATGCATACTTACAAGACAAGAAACGCGGACACAAAACAAACACCAACCACACCAAGCAACCACACAAAGAAACACGCAAACAAACTCACAAACGCGAATACAACAATCAACAATATCATGCAAACATTGCAACATGAACAAACAACCTTAACTAGTCCAAGCAACGCAACCAACCAACCGACCGACCGACCGACTGACCAACCAATCAACCAACCAACCAAACATACAATCAACCAGAACAAACCATATGCACAAACAGAGCACAACAACACTCACCATGCGGATGCCTGCAAGTCAGTCAAATGCACGTGGACAGTCGGTTGTGGGTAGACATGTCAAAAAATCCTCTTCAGAATGCTTTCTCCAACTATCCCCTTGAGAATGTGCCAAATGAAGGTCTGAATATCCTCTTGAACATGTTTCCAACTGAAACATCCTGATATTCAGTGGAGTCAAAAACACAAAATCTATTACAATGGCGACTGGTGCTTGAGCCCTGGGAAAGTCTTTGAGGGCACTCTTTTCATGTCAATTGCTCATTTTCAAGGAACCCCAAAAGGAAACCCATAGGGTGCCCAAGGAGCCAACAAACACCTCTCCTTCACCACCACGCTCATGGGGGAGAAGTCGTAGCTGAAGCGCGCCTGGAGGGAAGTCGAAGCACGAGGCACCTCCGATACACTTGCCATGCGGACCTTTTTGCGAAGTATTGCTTAAAGTTGAAGCCTAATTCAGGAGCTAAATCTGTTCTGCCATTTGCTCTGAGCGGCTCCTGGATGAAGCAGAAAACTTTCCCTCCGCAGGTTTGAGAATATACATGTATACTTATGTATCACATATTTTCAAATGAAACACTAAAGGATATTTCGTAATAATAAAAGTCAGTTTAGTCAAAGGCAAGAAACAAAAACGTACCAAACGTTTAACCAGAAGGTGCGTAGCGAGGATCAACCCAATATATTTTACACCACCCTTATTACGGTTCTTCATACGGGTTTCCCCATTCATTTTAACCACTAATTGACAAACCTTGGGGGGTGTCTCATTAAGGACTTCGGTGATGAGTGGATCGACATCCACAAGACTCCAGTCGCTACGGTGCTAGTACGGCAATATCTTCTCCCGGTGGCTTGCGGATAGGATGGTACATGAACAAATCCCCTGAAACACTCCCATAAACCACAAAGCAGGGGGTACCTATCTAGAAAATACCAGAAACAAACGTTCCTTGAAGGGCTGATTCTATATGAGGCAGGCAGCAAACAAGTCGGACAACCCTTTTGGTTGCTTACCATGGTTTGTGCTGGGCTTCACCGTCTTTATTAAAGGGATCAACCGTCTGCAACTAAGTCACTGACAAGTTTTAGGACTGCGTGCGTCATGCCGCAGGCAAAATGTTGGCTAAAGGGAGCGCGGGTGGTTCTGCCCCGCCCCACAATATGTCTGGTGCTTGTCTCCGGTTCAGGGCAGCATGCAGCACTTGCTTCTATGCACTCTTGACGCATACGTGAAAACCTTGTGCGAGACGGACATGGATGACCCAATGCGCTCGTGTAAAGGTGACAACTTCGCTGTTCAATATCTAGCGGAACAAGCCTGGAAGTGCTGAGCAGCATGCTTGTGCTGTTTTGGAGCTCTAGAGGATTCCAAAGCATTCTTGGGGCTGCAGCGGGGTTTTGGCTTCTTGCAGTGAATGAATGTTCAGCAAGCATGCTCAGCAAGCTGCACTCTGAATGAATCCGAGAATAGCAGTGTGTGGACCCCGTCCGTGGCTGTTGTCAGCATCTTGCACCAAGACTAGTGGCAGGTGACCAAGGCACAGAAGCTGGGTATGAGCAGTGGTTTGGGATGGGAACCTTTGGCCATTTGGAGTCTCCAAGCTGTCTGCACGTTGATCCACGCGCTGCCCACATAGGCGTCCTTTTAGGAGAAATAGATGGTCCTGGTAGATGCTTAAACCACCAGGTAAACCAGGAATCGCCATCTATTTTTCCTCCAGAACCACAAAAAAGAACACCCATGGCTGCCCAAGGTTGCAAACGAAGGCTCGCAGGGGATTTTGTTCGCGGCTTTCGGAAAGCTACCGCTTTGCACGTGTCTGAGGTTTCGCCTGAGGCGGCCTCTGGCTGTGTGGTTGGGGAGTGGCCGGGGTCGTGGGAAGGGTCATCGGTCGCTTTCTGCGTTCTTCATGTCAACCCCGGCTTAGTACGCCTCTGTCCATGAATCTGCGGGCGCTCTCCAAAAGTGATGAAGGCCCACCAAAAAACAGAATCGGACACACCCCACATGAATAAAAACAGGGGTTGGTCCGTCCGGGGTCAACCTCGCTGTGCCATCCTTTCAAGTCTCAGCGTCTCAAAGTCGCGGAGCGTGGCTTCCAATGGGTTCTGATCGCTTGCTCCGAAGGACAAAATCACGCGTTTCTGTGCGCAGCCGACAGGAACAGCCCATTCGTTGGAAACCCATTTCCTGCAAAAAAATTGAAAATCGCCACTACACACCCAAATGGTATACCCCTGCTCTTGCCAATCATGGAAGTGGACTACCAGGAAGGGCCCGATCAATTGACCCAAGCCAGGCGCTGCAAAACCCCATTGCCTTCGCCCACTGCCATGGATATGGTGTGGATAAGGGCAATAAGGCAACAAGGCAATCAGGCAATAAGGCGAGATTTCATAACGAGCAATAACCACAACCACCAATTCAAACCATGACCTCACTCCACCTCCATTCTTTACTTAATAAAAAATACAAGTGCATAAGTTCTGCAAACCTCGCGGTTTAAAGGGGGGTTCCGCCAACACCGACCCCGCTGGCATCCAAGGGCTTCGGGCTTGCTTTCGGCCTGGGTGGCCTTCTCATGGCTGGTCAGCTTCCTAACCCGGTCGGAATGGGTCATCTGATAGAAGACCTCGGAGCGAGCGAATCAGTCTCCGTCGGAGTGGGGAGAAGGTGCCACGTGGACGGTGGTGCCGCTTGTGGAATGGGTTGCAATGGAACAAGGATTCATGATAAAGTAATAGTAATAATCATAATAAATGGCGATACGATGACAATAACAACAGTCGCCTAAAGGGCCTGGTCATCAAAGGCGATCAGCTTTGGGGTTGGCAACAGACGGAAGACAGTCTGGAAAGATCCGGAGGACAGAGCCGCTCAGAAATGGTTCGTCCTCCTTTTGGTTGCCCTCGATTTGCAGATTCTAGAAGAACTTCCAGCCCAAGCAAAATATGAGGTATAGAACGAGGAACACCGTTGCGGAAGTCTCTTTGGTTTGCACACCAATTGGTTTTGTGCTTCTTGAGGGTACTCTTTTTGGAACCCCTTTAATTTAAAGAGAAACCAAAGGACACCACCCGCTTTGGAGGCTTCCCTATTTTAACACACACTGAACTATCCAAACATGGGGGATCCTGCTTTAGGGGACCCCCCTGTCAGAGATAACTGCTGACATAAAACCAATAGATGCTATTCTTAATGTTTTTAATGTAAGATATTGTCGCAACAAGCGTTTGTGTTTGTGTTTGCTAAGAACATTGTAAGTCAAACACCAAGGG